GAGGGCAGTGTCACTGGCCCTCATATGTGGGATCCGAACCGGGGCCCTCTGGCGTCCCAAGCCAGTTCTTAACCATTGCGCCACTCGGCCGGCCCCCAAGCCAGTTCTTAACCATCGCACCACTCGGCCGGCCCTGTCATTTGTTTTTTTACTTTGCTTATGGTGGTTTTTAACCAAATCAACTTACTTTTTTTTTTTTTAATTTTATTGGGGAACAGCCATGGTCATTGGTTAAACATTGCTTTCATGCTACAATGGCATAGTTGACTCTATTAGGAAGGGCACAGCTCACAGTGGCCCACGCAGGGGTCGAACTGGCAGCCTTGGTGTTATCGGCACCATGCTCAAACTGAGCTAACCGGTTACCCCCTCAACTTAAAATTTTATGAACTCAAATGTATCATAACAGGAGATTGTAAAATCAAAGTTACCCAATGCCAATATTGTTATAGATTAAGAGACCAAGGTAAACAATACACATATGAGTATTGTTGACAACACTAATAAAATAAAGATGGTAACGGCCCACATTTCAGCGATCACGTGTGCCAGGCATCACGCTGCGGGTTCCATGTGATGTGATCATCTTCACAACCCCAAGAAGCAGATACTATCATTGTATTAATCCCTACTTTACAGTTGAACCTGAGGTTTAAAAGGTTTAAGTAACTTGCCCAAGGGTATACAAGCAAGTGAAGGGTGGAAAATTGAGATTTGTAAAGCTGAAAAAGAAAACTGAGATGCAAACCAGGGCAGCCTAACTCTGTATCTGAGGTCTTGAAACCCTCCACTCACCAGCCCATTCCTGTGGGTGCAGGTGTCCCTTAAAAAGAGGCGTTTAAACCACAGAGAGTGAGCTTGACCCACATAACTTTCAAAGACTGAAATAAACATATTTTTTCACTTGTTACTCTTACTTCACTGCCACTTGGACCTGGTTTAACAATTGAATGGCTCTTGTTCAGCTAGAAGACTTTTAATTGCATTCTGGATGAAATAAGCACCAATCAACTAAATGAATCCATTTAATTAGGTACCTGAGTGGGAAAAGGGGAAAAAGCTTCAACTAGGAGTTTAAAAAAAGAGAAAAGAAGCTTGGTTGCTCTTTCTAGCCTAAAGTAGTTCACCAAGAGCAAAGTGGTCTATTGTTTAGAAAATAAAAGCCCTAACAGGAAAAATTTAAATGAGAAATGAATCACGTCAAGGTATTTAAATCATGTTGAGTCTTTTCTCCTCACTGTTGTTTTCTAACAATTCCCTTGTGGATTTTGAAACCTAAACCTTTTCTTCCTGAAAACATTTCTCTGACATGCACACACACACACACACACACACACACACACACACACACACACACACGTAGAAAGTCCTGTTGTGCTAGAAGCCAGAATTTTTAAAAGCCTACTACTGTGAAGGAACATAACAATGAACAGCTACACAAAACTGCAAATATTTGATGAGAAAACGAAAACAGAATTTAAGACTGCCAATATTTGTGATATCACTTGTAAGTAATGTTAAACAAAAGAACAGGATAAAGATGGGCGTTATATGACCCCAAAATAGCAAACCAAGACTTCATGGCAGTTTTGACCTCTTCCAGGAATGTGACTTAAGCAGTGAATCTGAAAACT